GTTCAATTGCTGAAACATAGCCACCGAAGTAAGCAAAGAAAATCACACTTTAACCTAGACCTGGCAAATCGAATAATGCAGTTTGCAAGACCCCGGCCACTAGATTAGAGCTTAAATTTATACAACACCTTGGCTGGCCACCACAGTAAAGAAACAGGTTTACCCAACCCAAAATCCCCAAACACTAGCATCCCGAAGTTTCCGAAACCATGGAGACTAGAGGCTGCTGGACTTTGCCTGAACCCTGACATGATTCTGTCTGCCTTTGTAGCACAGACACAGACATTTTCAATCACACACGACAGCTCTTAGCATTGCCTGCTTCCTTTGTGCACTCGATGCACGGGCTTGTGAGCCATTGCTGATCTGTTCTTCTTCTGGGCCCTCGAGCTGGATTCTCGTCAGCATGCATAACACGTGGATCCGTACTCATTAGTACGTGAATTTCAGAGCAGGTCTCGAAGGTTTTCTTTGGATTCGGCCCCCGAGTGAATTGCTAGGTTTGTCTAAATGGCTTAAGGGGCTGCCGTCGGCTGGGATTCTATTTTCGGCTTATCTAAAGGGGTTACATGGGATAGGTGACGGGGCTGTTTGGTTGCGGCTTTTTTGGGGCTGGGGTAATGGTTTGGGGCTTGGGTAGCTAGGTGAAAGGCCTGCGGGTTCCTGAGTCAAGGGTTCTGGCCCCGATTTCTGGGCCTGCTTCCGTAGCTTTAAATTAAAGTAAAACCCGGGTCCCGAGCTTTTACTGGCAATATCGGGCCGTGTGCGTGCTCGCTCGATAGGAACGTGCTCTCTGACCGGATTCTGGCCCGGAGCGTGCTCGCTCGGGCGATCGTGCTCTCTGAAACCGTACGTGCTCTCAGCCCCCGAACCGTGCTACCGGAACCTGATTTCCCGGCCATGGTGCACCAACATGGACGCGGCCCAAGCCGGAGCCAGCACCCTAATCCTGTAGACGGCGACCACCAGCCACTAAACCAACAAGATTGGATCCGAAGAGCCTAACGCGACTTAGTGCCGAAAGTACCCAACGTGCTCGCTCGAGCGTGCTCGCTCAAAATTTTCCAGTGTCGACCCTCGCACACATGGACGCGGCCCCAGCCCAACCTCGCGACCCTTGACCGGCCTCCAGCCCATCTATCACCACCCCGAAGCCGAGCGAGCACTTTCGAGCGGGCACCTTCGAGCGAGCACCTTCGAGCGAGCACTTTCCAATGATCCCTGAACCTAGGTATGTCCGCGATTGCCTGGCTCCAGAATAGGGAGAAGGAGCTGGTGGCGAGCCTTGGCCCTCTTATCATCGGGGTGGTTCCTTGCTCTGTGCTGAGTCAATAGTGAATAAAGAGCCTATAGTGATCTGAGGGCTCCAGATGATGAAACTCGGCAAAGACTCCGCGAGAAGATTTGCCAGAAGATCGCTTTGATGGATGTTTGCTTCAAACAAAAGCGAGATCTTCCGTTTACAGCGGATCCTGTGACTTGGGAGGTTCGCTCTGCTGTGTGCATTATATATTAATAATAATTTCCTGAAACCCCTAAAACCCTACACTTCTAGCTTGTCATGATGACCCCAACCAGGCAGCCCTCGACGAGCACAGAAAAAATTTCGCAATGAAGCTGGGTGTCTTCATTCGGCCGAAGCTCCATTTGAAGACCGAGCCCTGCCAACCTGAAGTAGCCGATGAGGCAGCCGATCCCGCTGCCCCAGCACAGCAAAACCCCAACAACGACAGCCCAACTCCTTGGACTCCCACGACAGTCGTGTACATCAAGGTTGCTGGTGCTGTCAAAGGTGTTATGCAACTCCACAAAGCTGCCTGACCGACTCTATCTGGTTTAGACTTCTACCTGGCACCGCCCCTCACCCGACTGTTCAATCATTCTCAGGTTTCCGCAGCGGACAATGTCCTGGGCTACAGAATGCTATATCGCTGCGAAGAACTATGGGCCTTGGCCAAACGCAGTCAAAAGTACTACAACTGGTACACAAAATTGTGTCTTCGCTGCAGAAAGTACAAAACTGACTAATCTAGTCTTATCCCCTGCTGCTTCCCAAACCAGTCCTATACGCACTCATCCCCAGATCACAATTGAAGAAATATACTTATGTATAATAAATGATATTTACTTACATATGTATATATATATATATATATATTCATCCTAAACAAGCATACGCCGTACGCCCAAATAAGCACTCAGCCTTATGTCTACTGTTGAAATATTAATTAGTCGCCAGTCACCATTCCAAGTTTCAGCTCGAGGTTGGATGGGCAGAGCCGCGACATCTGTGCAGCCTGGAAAATCGATGTCCTGCAACACATCATCAGAAAAGGCAGCTACAAGGGTGCTGCTAAAAAAGCAACACCCAACAAGCTGAAGCTGCCCTTTGATGCCGTGGTGGCACCGGCAGCATTGTTCATAGCCGCTTGTCTTCATCCTACATTGCCGAGCAACAACTTATCATTGACCCTGAACCACTGAACGTTTTGTCCCATCCGAGGCGGCCTATGTCTTGCAGACCCGGGGCTGTGCCAGCTGTGTGCAACAGCAGACGCTGGAGCTGCTTGAGGTCCTGCTGCTGCCGATCGCGACGAAGAGCATGGAAGTCGTTCTGCTCCCTGATCTAGAAGAATGAGCCTTGGATGGTCACATAAGCACGCTTTCCAAGGGATCATGGCAGACCCCTGATTCCTGTTTCAGGCAAGCTTTCGGTTCGATCCGGAGAAATCCTCCTGTCGGACTGGGGGGCCTTTCTTGACAGCAGAGACCTCCGCCTGAGGCTTCCGTGCACGCTAGTAACAACTTGCTGGCACATAGGTTCTTGGGACCTGCTTTCAATTGATAATTGTTTAGCAGATCAGACTTCCTTATTGAACAGGTGGGCTGGCTCCCGTGCTCTCTCGCCGGAGCTCCAGGCCCTGGAAACAGGACTCGCTCTCACAGTCTCTGAGTCTCTGAATGGAATGAATTAGTGGGTTCTGTTCATTGCAGGAGTTCCTCTGCACGTGGCTATGTGGTTTCTTCTTCGTATTCCTCACGAAGACGAGGTTCAGGACAGTGACAGGGTGACAGTGACAATGCCAAGTACCTAATTAATAATTATGACTGAACAGATCTCAAAATGCAAGCCTTGAACCAAAACCTGCAGCCCTCGAACCTGGAGCCATCGGAAACCACGCAGCTTTGAGTCCGCAGTACTGAATCAGCTAATCATGAATGAATCAAGGCCTTCTTAGTTCTTCCCTGAATTAATAATAACCCTAAATCCCTGAACTCTAAAACCCCTAAACACCCAGGGGCGAACAACATATGGCCGGCTGCAGAGACGAATGGTTCACATGGTGGCCCAGCAGCTGGAGCTGAGCCTTCGGGAGGTTCCAGAGGGATCGCTACCAACCCCCATGGCCGATCACGTGATACATCCTGCCATGAAGTAGCCTGGCTTTGGTTTTTGTGCTTGACTGATTCAGGCTTTGAGGGATCCTGGTTTGTATTTTTTCCGCCTCTCCGCTTACAGGGATGGACGAACACTTCGAGCGGATGTGAAGCCCCGGGAGATGATGGCCGTCGACAGATTTATCTCCAAAGGGGGCGGCCTCATGGGCTGCGACAATACGCTAGAAGATTTCGGCCTTCACGACCTGGCCCCTCCCAATGCCTGCAGGCCTGCCACGCCCAGTATCTAGTATTCTAGGGTTAAAACACTGTAGATTATTTACAGAACTAACCTCTAATAGCAACAGAAAGAGTGCCAGGACCATCTCCGACTTCATCCACAGATACATCAGAGGAAGCGCCTGCCAGATCGAGAAGGACTGGTCGTCCACCCCTATCCAACATTGAGTCCCCCCGGTTCTCAATGACCTAATAATAGTATTACAGCCCAAAACCACCCAACCAACCAAGTCTCCTCCTCGAAGACTCACCGCCCCCGTAGACCAACACACTCCCCGAATTCGCAGCACACCCACCCAATGAAGCAAGAACTGCCTTCCGCACTTATCATCTCTCCCCGGTAGAGAAACACGACTCCTCCCCTAGTACCCACGGCACCATTTCGGTTAAAAACAACCCAGCAGTAAGAACGCATCCCAGTAACAAGCTCCTTCCTAGCCGAAAAGCCATCCGCAATTCTCAATCACCCCTGTATACTGGAACAATAATAAATAAAGGGCTACCACAAATAATCCCCGCAGCACCGGTAGCAAGACTGTGCTTATCGCAATGCCTGTACCAGACCATCTCGCTGCCCAATGAATCAAAACGTAAACACGCCTCCCCTAGCCTCGCAGCCCCAAACAAATACAAGAAGAATCCTGCCCTGCTCGCACCGCCCCGTACGACTTAGATGGCTCCTGCGATTATCTACCCAATTCACCAGAAGAAACAGACACCAGTTCTCACTGCCACATTAACCAAGAAGCTTCCCCCAATTCTTGCCGCCCTGCTGACCAAGCACATATTTCCCAGCTCACTGTTCACTGAAGTATTGACCACATAGCTCCTCGCCCTGTTCTTGCCGCCGCATTTACAGTATAATCACGGACGGCTAGAGACAAAAGCCCACTCAGCTAGAAGTTTGCTTCATCCCAACGCCCATGATGTACCCTAACAACCTCATCTTCCCGCAGCCCCGCAGGAGAAACAAGTCTTATTAATATTAATGGAATCAAATTCGAAAGCTTTCCCGGATATATTACCCCCTTTACCAAATGTACATAGATCATGCTAGGCTAAGACTGAAGTACCCACTTCCCCAGTTAAGTATCCACTGTCCTAAGACATTCATCCATACATGTGCATATTATACATATATATATATATATATATATTAAATATTAGTGACACTATACCCATATTGCCCTACCAATAAATAAATAAACATGTACTCGACCAAATCATACTAACTAACTAACTAAATCCCTTAAATCCTAGACAGCCTCAACCTCGACAGTCTACAGGAGATGGGGAGCCAGCTGTTCCCGCACATATCTGTTATGTGTGATGCCTCACCGAAAGGCAAGCTGGATGCCCCCCGGTTGCACCAGTCAATTCAGTCGTACACCCAGCATGGATTCGTTTCGACTAAGTTGTGGATGCCCCTGATCACAATGGGGAATTTCGTTGCGATTGGAACCGTCCAGAAGCTGAGTACTCTCTTGCCCTCCTCTGCGACAGCACAGCAAAAGCTTGAAGCAGCAACACTGGTTGCAGAGTCAGCGACGGCTTCTTTGGCATGTGAAGCTAACAAGAAGGCCGCGAAGAAAAAACTGCAACTGGATACAACTAGTGCAGTGTGTCATTCGTGTTGCATTGAAGAACACTCTCAAACCGCACCCCACATGTGCAACCAAGGCCCAAGGCCTTGGGAGCTGTGCGAGAGCAACGCCTGGCGGCAAAGCAAGAACTGAAGGCCGTTCGCAACATACTGGAGCATGCCAACTTCGACCTGGATAGCATCTTTTCCGCCAGCCCCTTGAGAGCAATCGACCCCGCACATGAAGTCAGAACCGAGCACCGAGTAGGATGTGATGCCCTCGCCTTCTATGTCAACGCGACCACGGGCGACTGCACCTGGGCGGCGGTCATGCCCGAGGCCGACACGACTGTGCGACTTGTGTTGGCTCCGGACGAGGGGGGCCCTCTGTTTGCCTGCTACCAGTACTTAGCACTTCAAGGAGCGAAGGTGACCTTGAATCGAGATGCCCTGCTGCTCGGTTAATGCAGACTGTGTACGCACTGCCTGTCATTCCTAGTTTTGGCTGCCAGCAAATCCTAGAGTGACTTCACTCACTCATGTTGTACACACAGCAAAGGCACAAGCTGCACGCCTATTGTGGTCGAGTGACGAGCTGCTCCCCGACAATCAAGCGAGCCTAGGCTGATGTGTGAGTTCTTGTGCAACTATATAATTGGTGCTGATTCCCAGCTGTTCCAAGGAATGTGCGAGCTGTCGGGCTGGCTGTTCAGATCGAAGAAGAGCCCCTGGGGCACCCATGCCACCGGCAACAACTTGTCTGAAGGTTGTCTTCGCTACTTGCAGGTAGCAACTTCTTCGCATGAAGAAACGGATTCAGCAACCAAACCCCCAAGACCCTCACGCAAAGGCAGAAGCCGGCGATGCTTTGATGCAGCTCTTTGGAAGAGATATATTGAAGGAGCGGCTCGGCGATTCTCTCATGTGTTTCCTAGCTAGGTCCTAGGTCCTAGCTATTGCTACGGACAAATCTCAGGAATGGAGTCGAGGAAACCGCTGACGAGCACCTCAACTTTACGAGGACTGTGGAAATTCTGGGGAAGGCGGCGAAGAAGCCCGGAATGCATTCAGTAATCCTGGCCTTCCCTGTTTTTGTGCTGGGTTTTCCAACCCCAACCTTGAAAGCGCCAAGGAACAAGAAGGGGTCCTTCTCGTGGTCCAGATGGTGTTCCTGGGCACACACAGCAGCCAACTACCAGTACAGCTGCCATTTGTTGCAACTCTTCTGGAGTGCGATGGAGGTGCCAGCAGACCAAACCATATCATTGTCTAGACTGATAATAGTCTGTAGTAACTTAGTAGTGTGCAATGGTCGTAATTATTTTATGAATTACATAGTGGGATGATAGTTTTGCGACTCTTCTGCTTCTGAGAAACAGAAACTAACGTTCGTACCGCCGGTATACCCAGTAGGGTACGTCTAGGTCTATCAATTGGGGTTTGGTGATAGTAACACTTGGGCCCTGCCAGCCTGCTAACCTAGACTACGCTAAGATACTGGTACACCAACTGTCGCGGTTGTAGCAGCCTAGTGGGGGGTACCGGTCCGGAAGTGGATAATAAGTGAACTAGCACCCCGATGCCCGAGACTAGCACAACCCACAGGGTAGCCTTATGGACTGTTACAACCCAACTGATCGGATCGCAGCCCATTACACAGATGCTCAACGGCACGTGCGAGTCTAATTGGCTGCACAACTGGATAATTGTTCAGTGGGTATGGGGTCTCGTTAGTAGACTATGACAATGGTTTATTATGATTACGCATTCCATATCGGTTTCTAATATATATGTATATCCTCATATTCGTATTTATACAAATCTGTGTAATATATGGATATAGAATTTATATATATATATATATTCTATATATATATATAAGAACGGATCAGTGGAAATCCAGGTCGACGCCAAGGGGCCCTGCCAGCCTAACAAGTAGTTCTATGATTGCTGCTGCTGCTGCCGCTGCTACTGCAGGCTACTGCTACTCCGACTAGATACTACTAGTATTACTTCTACAGCTTCTGCTGCCGATATGTTGTTGTCATAATAAGATTATGATTGTGGTTTGGGTGATTATGAAGTTCTGTGGGTTCTTCAGCTTGGTTTGCTAAAACCTCGTATCCCAACCTTAGTCTGTCCCCACGCCCGAAGTGCTAGGACAGCCGAGCATTTGGATTCTCTCATGTAAATAGAATAAGTGTTTTTTTTCTAGTAGGTATCGATACTAGGAAGACTCACTGAACCCTGATTTGTTAAGGTAGCATTCAGCTAGGTGTAGGCCCCTCTGACCTGTCGTCATAAGTCTCCTGCTGATGAGTAACTGTAGCACAAGGAATCAGGAAAACCAATAATTAATATAATTACATTGGCACCCTACATCACCTTACTGTGTTGTCGTAAGAATTAGGGCAGAAACACCTGAAGTGACCAGGGAGACATCTATCACTGAAGCGGCCCCACGCCACAACCTTGCCCCATATCCACGCGAACCAGCTCCCCGGACTAGAGCCCCGAATTAAGCGAGAAGATATCATAGCTAAGACCAGGAAACCAAAAAAGCAGTTCGCCTCTTCCCCAGGTGTTGGAAACGTGTCCAGGTGCAGTAGTCGTTGGCATGCTACCTAAACAATCATGTTGGCCCCCGCGAGTAGCTCAGTATTTGTCAAGATGCCACTTAAGCATTTGGTTGCCATGGCCAGGGCACAAGCATGTAGTGTTGATATCGAAGCTAGAAGTGTGCCAGGATTCCGACATTTTAAGGTTCAGGATGCCACAGGTAGTAGTGTTTAGATGCAACGATGCTCGGTGAAGTCATGTCTGGGTGCAACGAGGATTTGCTCCGTATTCTGAAGTCTGTATATAACATGTACTTGCTAGACACGCAAACCACAGACTACCTGACAAAAATCAGAACGTAACTACCACACCCGCAGAAAACAACCCTGATAATATAAACAGTAGGAACAGTTGACAAATGTGCCCCATTGGTAATCCAGACCAAAAAGCGACGATCATAGTAGTACATTTATGACATCAGAAGCTTGAAAAAACATTTGTGTGAATATCCACACAGGACGAATGATATCAAGTCAAATCACAGCATTATCATCGTCGTCATAGCCACCACCGCCATCAGCACCGCGATAGCAGCACTCATTGCAGGTGGGCCGCAATCCATGGACGGCCCTGGATGGCAGATCTTCCTCGGAGCAGGGCTTTGACAAAACCATGGAGCTTTGTGTCAAAGCAGCCAGGCTTACTTGGCATGTGCACGCCATGTGTGTGCTAATAAAATTCATGCTTGAAGTAGGAACTATGTGTTACTCCAAGGCATTGATGGATGAAGAACTTTATCAGATTTTCCATGTGGCCCGCAACATCGTGGCTCCCTGGCGAGATCTTTGCCTGAAGCTTGTGCCCTGGCTAAGAGTGGAACATGCACATATGTATGTGATGGTACGTCTGTGAGCAGGTGCAGTCGCAGGTAGGGAGGCATCCAAATATGTATGCATGTGTATGTATACATTCAATATGAATAATATGTGAAAGTGAGACCAACATGTACATGTGTCTTTCCCTGTGTGTGTGTGTGTGTGTGTGTGTGTCTGTGAGCCATTCCTTTGCAACCGTGACATCTGCCAACTTGATCTAAGCAAGAAGAATGCAAGCAAATGTAGGCTTCTCACCGGCATGCTCTGGAGATGAATGGAGACTGGCCAGAGCGAAGCTTGCAAAACCTGGCATCCGAGACGCTCAATGCCCAGGGACTGAAGCTGCAGCCAGATGTGAAGAGCGCCGCGGGAGCCCAGGCCATTGGCACATGTTTCAGTGATTCAGGTATGATTTGGGCTGGTTTTGGTCAAGCGAAAGTAGAAACCACCCAATAGTTAGCAACTAGCCCGGGTACAATCCTATGCATGCTGCCATTCTTGCCAGCATATACTGTGAGGCCCTCGAAGTGTCGTTTCGACGAACTCAAACTGAAGAGAATGTTCTCTACGAGTGCTTTGGGATGGTGTTGGCTTCGGCTCACGAGCTGTTGGAGTACAGCCTACATCTAAGAAGAACCCCAGCTTGTGCAGCAGCACTCCTTGCTCCGGGCGATGAACACGCGAGCAACAAAGAAAATGTGTTGTCTTCGATGAAGCATGAATGGGAGACTGTCTTATTCATGGAAAGCAGCACGCGAACGCATGCTTTGTTGAAATCGCGATGCCGGTTCACGGACTTTCAGAACTTTCGCGAGATTCACACGATGATGGAGCAGTGCCAATACAAAGTGACAGAGACTGCAAGGTCTCTCCTCGAGGCCTGGCACCCGCCTTTTGCATGGTCTGCGAACCTTGAAAGCATCTTCGGTGAAATCCAAGCAGCCCTGAAAAAGTCGAACCGCTCTGAGGGAGCATCTATGCAATCGATGATGAGCATTGCAGTGCGATCTTTGGGTCGCCGTGTTTGCACAGATGAGACAAGCCCGGCTCCGCTGACCCTCTCCGCTGATGATTACATGGGAAAGCAAACCGCGGCATTGAAATCCAAGATTTGGTGCCCCGAATCCTGCACCCCTTGAATCCTGGTGGCGATTGATAATAATAGTTTTTGTTTACCACTCACTTGTGGAACTACAATTATTGTTCCGATTCGCGAAGGCAAGAACGTCAGCTTGGATGACATTGTGAAGCCGATGAACAGCACGAGCGCTTTTCACCACACGCATGATCAGCTGAACACCCTCAGTGCTTTCATGGAGATGAAGCGGAAACTTGTCTTTTCATAATGCATCATTGTTTCTTCAGCGGTTGCAAGTCATAATGTTTCGCCGACCCCACCCTTCAAGAACGCACCAAATAGCATTACGCATCGAAGCCGAGGCTGTCCCTGGACATACTGGATGAAAGCATGCATTTGTGGGCGGCCCAATGCCTGGGAAGTGGTGAGCTCATGAAAATCAATGGCCAGTTTTTCGTGACAACGGGACGATCCCCGAGCATGGTTTACGATGCTTGGCTTCATTCGTAAAACTCTGAAGTGGTCTTATTGAGGCCGTCCGGTTATGTGTACTTTAGAGGTCTGGTTGATAAGAATTTTGTACTATGTGCTTAAGTTCGCCGTGTATGCATGGGTACAGTTGATGATATGAGAGTCTTTATGCCGACCGTTTAGTATAGTAGGGATAGAGTGATAGAGTCAATCGGTATGTTTTTCAGTGTCATCGATTATCTAGAACTTCGAGTCCACACGGCCTTCTTCTCACGGGGTTTCTTATACAGACGAATAAGGGTTTCAGCTAGTCCGGATTGTGTGTAGGAATTTCCATACGGAAGCTTTACTATTATAGTTAACTGCCACGAGAAGAAAAGCTAATATAATAATGATGTACCCCAAACTCTTTTCAATTCAGTTGGGAAGTGTTCTTAACAGAGATTGAGTGAGCCTCTGCATTGACTTCTTGGCACCCCAGG